GTCAGCGAAGAAGAGGGAACAGATTTACCAGCTATGTTAACGTTGCTGAGCTTGTAATAAAGGGAAACTTATTAAACTGCTAGATGAAGATGTCAGGAAAAGAACTGGGTTTTATTATGATTTTTCTTGCTCTTCAATTGCAGGGACTTTAACTTATATGTAGAAGAAACAAAAACTAGTAGAAAGAGGTTAAACTTGTAGAAAGGAGAATGGTGATAAATCAGTTTGACAGAGAAGGTCAGAGAAGTTAAAACCAAACCCAGGTGGAAGGATTACATATATCTTAGCTTCCAGGGAAGAATTCTACCTTCGGGCTTTTATAGACATTCAAACAGTCTATCAGCTGTGTCATTTTTTTTTTCCCACAGGAATCCAAAGCTTTATTTTATGTAACTATTTCTTAGGTTTTATAAAATTCAAGTCAGCAGGAAATAAATTTTAGAAGAAACCAGTTAGTGATACTTCCAGATTTTGCTCTGCTTTTTGAAGGCACTCTATATAAAATGGGAATAATGAAGAGAGTTTTAACAAGGATGAGTTTTTTAAAATCACTTTGATTTTTATATGGAAATTGTTTTGGGGAAAAAAACCAGAATATTCTAACCCCAAATATATTATCTGTTAAACTGAGAATTTAGCTTTTTATCTATATATCTGCCAGCCATTCTTCTAGTGAAACATTGTTTGCCTATAATGTCTGAGGAGTTTAAAAAGCAATGATATTTCTGACTTTTACTGTTATTCCCCTAAAAGCATATGTACAATTACTAGAAAAAGCAGTTTAACATTCCAAAGTGGAACCAAACATAGTATGAAGCATGGTAAGAGAACATGAATTTTAGCAATGCACCTGTTTTTAACTTTTTAGTCAATAATTAAAAATATATGCTACTTTTAGAATAATTATGTTGAATCAGTGGTTTCAGATTTCACAGTCACTACTTGACACAAGCTATGCAACATCTATCATCTGACAGATTCCAGGTAGATCGGGAAAAGTTCTGAAAAATCAGACTTTTCACTGCTAACTTATGTTACGGCCTCCCTTTTTGTATAATCGTAATATCAAAATATTCTGAGCAACTTTCAGTTTACAATTGGATTGTCTCAGCCTCATAAGGCCTGCCTGCCTTGACAGGCAAGCACTGCACCAGGGTGAGAAATTCCTCTAAAGTCAAGAGACTTGACTACTGGCTGATCAATAAAAACAAAAGGGCTGTTTTTGCAAAGTCTCTCTTACTGCCTGAAGAAGGATAACCCAAATCTTATCATTCTACTATTTCACCTAGCCTTCTATTCAGCTTCTAAGAATTACTCAAACTTCCTATTGTCTGGCCTTTAGATGTGGAAATTCATCCAGGTTGCCTGTTTGAAACTAGTCAGGTTTTCTACCTGCTACACCTCAAAGGAACCCACAAAAGTCTTCTGGCTAGTCTTGCAGGTCTTTAGATAAGGAAATTCATCTATGTCTCCTATTCAGAGACTTGATTAGCAAGGAATTCCTCTTCCTGCCTCCCAGGATGTCTCAGGTAGAAAAACAAAAACCCATTAAGTAGTAGATAAGGTTTAAGGGACTTTTATCTTAGTTAATCCCCACTATAGTAATATTAGTCTTAAACTTTGTGCACCTATGTACCTGTTTTTAACCTTGATTGATTTTAGAATGTTATAATCTCAAGTAAAGGTCAAAACAGACTATTCGTAGAAAAAAAGATGATTGTAATCTCTCTGCCTAGCTCCTGTGCTGATGTCATCCCACTGCTTGCTCCTAATGTATAAAATAAACTTCTGCAAAAGGCAGAACAGGAAGACTTGCACCCAACTCCCATTCCCGTGTCTTCCTCGCACCCGCTCCCCTTTTTTCCTTTTTCCCCCTTTTTATAGGAATCTCCACTCGGTGACGCCATTCCCACCTTAAGACCCTGCCTGTTCTGCCCCCCAATAATCCTTGATCAGGGACAAAGTCTTCGACAACTACTAAGTTACTGTCTGTATTATGTAGATACATTTATATGTCCATATACATAAAACAAGGGTAAGGCATCAGGCTGAATTTCTTCAGGCGTTACCTCTGAAAACTCATATACCAAATGATAATTACATCTACAAGGTGACACTTAGATTTATGCCTGTTTCTGTCACACACACACAAATACTTTGGTAAGGTCTGTTTCTGAGTTCTTCCATGTGTTAACAAGTACTTTGATATTGATGCATATATATGTCATTTCTTTTTAAAGCTTGATAGTGATCTTGATGACTATCCACTCCTATGCTTATACTTCCCTTTCTTTTAGTTTGTTTCATTTCAAATCCACCAAGACTTTCAAGTTGGCTGACTTTGAAGACATCTAATACAGAATTTAGAGTTAAAATTTATAAAAAAATAAAAATGTTATATTTTTTATTATACTATCTCTTAAAAAGAACTCTCATCTTAATGGCAATAGTTATATGAAAAATGGAGCCTAAAAAATCGCTTATATTTGAAATCTTTTTGTAGTTTTCTTTGACAGCATTGGCAAGTGGTATTATTTTGCTGTGGTAATGAACAAATTATGAAACTATTTTCTGTTGTTTTCTATTTTAAGGTTTGTCAGCTAACAGATGAGCAGATCCATCACCTTGTGAAAATGACACGTGCTTTCAGCATTCTTTTTTACAGGGTAAGGGCAAAAATTTTTTCTACATAAAATATTAGTTTGATGCTTTTCTAGTGCACCATAAATGGTAAAGCTGTCTAGAGCCATCTAGTGGTGAGACCATAGAGCTACTCTGCCTTGTGGGCATAATTAACATCTTGAAATCTTAGGTCATAGTTCATTCCAAACTCAACTGAATATATTGAACTATCTTTATACAAAGTTGTTAGCATTTTATGTTAGCATTTTACTTTTACTCCAGTTCTAAGTTTGGACCTATAAAAATAAAAGAAGCAGCCCAAAGAAACAGATTCTATTCTTTGAGGTACATAGATTTCCTCAATGAACCAGATTTTCCCACTAGCTCTCTGTGTGTTTCAGTATAAGCTTAGTGTCTTCATCTGTAAAATAGGTTGGTGACACATCTCTCCCATTCAAAGTCTTACAGGGGTGAAGTAAGTATACTTACTAAATTGTGTATTTTGAAAATTATGCATACACTTTTACCAACAAAGTATCATAAATACATCTGATTTTTCCCCCTCATAACCCATTTTATATATTAAAAAAGTTATATATATATATATATATATATATTTTTTTTTTTAAAGATTTGTTTATTTGTGCATACAGAACTGGGGTACAGGCCAGAGGCTCAGGGGTGGCGAGAGGCTTCACCAGAGACAGAGCGGGGAGCAAAACAGGCAGATCGACCAGAGTACACTGCCGAGGGGAGCAGCGGGCGGGTCAGGAGAGGTCTGCCACGCCATGCGGTCACCTCCGGGGCAGGCGGGAATCGAACTCATTCTGTAGCGGCTGCGCCACCAGGGAGGGCCCAAAAAATTATATTTTACTATGACTAGAAAGGCAAGTACTGTGGGATTCTTCACTAATTGACCTGAAGTATTAATGAATGCTTGTTCCATATGTCTGTTTTGTTTTGTTTAAGATTTATTTATTTATGCATCTGGCCTGGGGTACAGGCCAGAGGTATGGGGCTTGAGAGGATTCACTAAAGACAGACTGGGGAACTGAAAGACAGGTTGAGAGAGACACCTGACTGAGGGGAGCAGCAGGTAGGACAGGACAGGTCTGTTGCACCATGTGGGTCAGCTCCCTGGTGGGATCGAACTCCTGCTGAGTGGCTGACAGTAGCTTGATAGCGCTGAGCTTAACCCCTTGGACCACCAAGGAGGGCCCTCTGGGACTGTTTTAATATTGTATAGGCTCACTTATTCTTTCGGAGAAAGATAATTAGACAACTGCCTATTTCAATATTTTGGTAAATAAATGTAAGTATTTGTCAGCTTGGATGTGGGGAGTCATACCCTGGACTTATAAATTCACTTGCTGATGTAAACTCAATATATTCTCTTTGTAAGAGCTTTAAATGTATTTGGGAAGAATAAAATGGTGACAGAATATCAAAACATTTCTTGAAAAATAATTTATACCAAAGTAGAACATGCTCTTGGCTAGGATTGCAGTTGAATTTTATTTTCTTTTTTAATGAATCTATAAAGTTAACAAAAAACCCTGTCCTTTCTCAGGTCAAAAGAAAGGATGGTCTTGTTAAACTTTCCTCCTAGAAATAACTTTTTGGTCTTGAAACTAACAGCTTCAGTGTTCTAAAAATAATCAGATTTAAAGCTAATCTAGTCTTTTTCATATAACCACATAATTATGTTTAATTAAAAAAATCTTAAAAGCATGAAAGACATTTTAAATTATAGAACTTTTATATCCCTTTTAGATAAGAGGGTAAAGTTATGCAAAGAATAGCTTTGAATACTAATGTTATAAAATAATGTCAATTATTTCATACAAAGTGTATTTAACCTATATTACTATTATCTACCTTTTTCTCATGAAAGAAAAGATTATGTGGAAATATGTACAAACATACGTTAACGTTCAACAGCTTATTTTCAGAAATGACTTCCAGAAAGGTAGGTTCAAAAAGGACTTCTTAGCAACACCGTCTTGTAGATAACATTATTTTTATTTTTATTTATTTTCTGCAGTGCCATAAAGCAGGATCAGCTATCTCTAAACACTATAAGGTTTACAAGCGTCCTAATTGTGGTCGGTGCGGCTGCAAAGTCACTGTGTGTCGCTTAGGGGAGAATTGCAGAATGACATATTTCTGTCCTCACTGTCAAAAAGAAAATCCGCAACTTGTTGACATCCGGTGAGATTTTATAGGGTACTGCTACCTGCCCTTCTAGAACCCCGGGACTGACTCTCTCCACCCCAGTGCGCATCTGGCAAGAACACTTCCATTCTTCACGCTTCTGCCTCTGCAGCGGAGCAGGCTTGGTTGATGGGTGCGGTGTGGGATGTGGGTAAGAAGTGTGGAGACGAACTCACGGGTTTTAGACCCAGTCACTGGAGTGCGTGCGGATGTCCTTTACTGACGAGAGACAAAGCGGTGGAGTTGCAGATTGAGGGGAAAGGGGGCATGAATTTGATGTTCCTAGTTTCTTATGGCACCACAAACTGGGCAGTAGAAGCAACAGAAACTACTCTCCCACGAATCTGCGTGCAAGAGGGTCGTGGCTTTGGGTCCTGCTGCAGACGTGGGCAGGGCTGTGCTCCCCGCAGAGGCTCTGAGGCAAAGTCCACCGTTGCCCTGGGCCGCTGAAGGCCACCACCATCGCTTCAGTTCACTCCCATCTCTGCTTACTGCTCCTACTCCATCTCTCTCTCTTTTATAGTTTATTTTTCCATCACTTTGTGCCTTTTTCGATCTCAGTTGTGATCCCCGTGGGGTTCCCACCACCAATTCACCCGTGTGCCATCACCATAGTCCAGTGCATTTCCCCGTGCCCCCCGACCCCCATTTTTGATTCCATCTCTACTCCACCCCCATAAAATGTCTCTGGTATATAGTTATTCATTATTATTATTTTTTTGTCCCCCGATCCTTTATGTTCTTGTAATGAGTAAAACCATCCGGTATTTTCTTTTTCTTTCTGGCTTATTTCACTAAGCATGATCCCTTCCAGCTCCATCCATGTTGCTGCAAAAGGCATGCGTTTATCTTTTTTGATTGCTCCTACGCCATCTCTTATTAGAACACTTGTGATTGGGCCAGAGGAGCGGGATATTTGACTGTGTCGAGGTCCTTAATTACAAATGCAAAGACCCTGTCTTCATAAAATAATGTGTATAAAGCCCTGGAGCTTCTGATCTACTTTCTCTGGGAGGCCAGTCGTCAACCAATGAGAAGCATAGTAAGTTTGAAATCCCAGTTACACATCCAAGTGGAGATTAGAAATAATTACTAGTTGGTGAGGTGGAAATGGAGCAGTAAGGGAAGTTGCTATGTAAGTGCTTTAAATTACAGATGTTATTTTGGAATAGGTAATCACTCCCACTTCACTGTGGCTAACAGTCAGGAGTTAGAGCTTTTTAAAAATATATATCAGATATACAGTATCAGTCATAAAAAGGAATTGCTGGCATTGGCATGTGTTTAACCGCAACCACGTGGTGAGTTCCCCTGACTTCGAGCATCTCAGACTAGGACCAGTCTGGATCTTTCTAAAGCCTTTGGATAACAAGGTGTTGTTGTAGGTAGAGAATCATGATTTATGTTTGTGACCAGAAATCAGGGCTGGGTTGAACACTTGCTCACTAATTTATTAATAAGATCACTGACATATCTAGATAGTCAACACATCAAGTATTATTTTTACCTGAAGGGAAATAATACCAGGTTATTTTCATGACTGTATCAACAAACTAACTTAGTGATTAGTAGATACTATAAACTGCAAAGGCACATGGCTTTTTCAGAAATCAGTGTCAGACTTTTCCTCAGTTTACTTTCAATTCTACTTTCTGCATAACTTGTTTTCCCCTAATTTGGTTGAGTAAACATATTTTTAGCTTTGCTTTGGGAAGAGTACCACTTCATTAAAGCATTACTTAAGAAACACTTCTTCACAGTTATGGCAAATATTTTTACGGAGCTTTAAAAAAATGCAACTTTTAACTTGAAATAGCAGGGCTTATTGGTTCTTTCTGCCTTGAACAGCAATAAGCACGGCCCAAGTGAAAACATTTTATTCTGGGCTAGAACAGAGCAGTAATAAATATGCAACATTTGGATATTTATGGGTCTGTAATAGCTTCTAAAGGATCCAAAAAATATAAGAACAGGCAATAGTAACAGCTTAATGATGAACTTTAAAACTTCTTTTCTAGCCAGCTGCCCACTAGAAACAGTCCACTCCATTGGCCGTGCAGTGGGGGGTATCAGATCATGGACTCTGTGGCTGGGAGGTCTGAAGAGCAGTGGGCGTGTATGGCCTGTACACTGATAAATCTGCCTTCTTCTGAGACATGTGAGGCTTGCCTGACATCAAGGCCAGCAGGTAATACACACTTGATGTTGAGTTCTATTATAAAGAAGGTTAATTACAGGAAGTGAGGTATGTATCTTGTTCCAAGTCGATATTTCATAACTACGTATAATGCTTTCTTTCTGAATGGTTTAAAGAATCACCAAACTGGCTTGTAAACCAAGCTAATATCCTGTTGAATATTTTTCTAACAGGGAGGAAAAACATGCTTGCTAAAAGAGTATGTGCCTTTGTATCTCAAAAAACTGAGATGATCACATCTGTTCTCTACTGTTTCTAATGAATTATTCAATAAAGCTTTGTTTTATGCAGATTTCAGCAACTTTTGAGTTTGATATTCAGTCCAAGTGCTTCATAAATTGAAAGGGAGGATTTCTGTAAGAATATCTTTGCAGGTGGAATAGGAAAAGGCTGAATTTTTTTCCACTTCTTTATCCTTCCTACCCCTTGTTATTAAAATCTTTACCCAGACAATTGTACTGATTTCATTGAAATCCTTCAAAATAACTCTTTAGAGCTCACAATTCCATGCGTTCAGAGAATGCAAAAGCTCAGAGGAGACCTGTGATTAAGAGCTGTCTCATTGGTGTGGGTGCATTGTGCTCTCGGAGAGTTCTTTCTTTCTTCAATTAGAGATGAGAAATTTCCTTCTTGACTTAGGAACCTCCACACTTTTACTTGCCTTCATGCTGTGTTTTGTTCTCTGGGCCAGGAAAACAGCATCACCCATGCACAGCTTTGGAAGGGGGTTGGGGCTCCTGTTTCTCACACCCCACTCACCCTACAGAATCCTCCACCAGAGCCCTCAGGAAACCAGCCTTAGTTTCCCACACTGATTTGAGCACATTGCAGTGGCTTTACACACCCATTAACTGTTTTATACTTTGTGAAACATATTTAGCAATGTTAAGTCTTTGTGGTTCATCTTTACTTGGTCTAAATAAGCCTTTCACTTTGTTTCTTCAAGAAATAGATCTGCTGTTCTCAACACCGGCCTCCAATTGCTCATCTAAAGCTTTATGGGACGTCACATCTTAATTACCACTGTTTTAGCATGTTCTAATTGTAACAAAACTAATAGCTGAATAACCTTTAAGTATGTAAACATAAGGCAAAGCAAATATAAATCTTTGTAAACCCAACTGAGGCCCCTCCAAGTTGTTAGAATTTTGCTATTTATATAAGACTTCATTTCCTAATAAAAATACAGTAAAATCTGAATTACCCATGCTTACTTTGTTTTACTAGCTCTCTGTGTTAGTACACTATGATAAATGAATAAATGATGTAATCAAATTAAGAGATGTTTCAAATAGTCAATATAGTCTATATATAGGATTACTGAATTATGTCTTTCTCCTTTTAGATTCATTACTCAGCAATAAAGACAATCTGGTTGCCGTGAGCAGCCTAGTGAAGTACCCTTGCAATGAGTTTGGAAAACCCAGTGCAGATGTGAAAATCAACAGGAAAACTGCATTTGGTACGACAACCCTTGTCTTGACCAATGTTAGCAATACGTCCAATCCTTTGGAAAGAACCAAAAACCTAAACCAGACCGTAGGTGGAGAATTCCCCTACTCTCCATCCACTCCTATATGTTTTCGTGGTAGACGGCCCCCCTCCAAGCAGAGGACAAACAGCCAAACTCTGCAATCTAACAAACCGAACACATCACCTGTGGTCTGCTCTGAGTCTAAATTATTTAGCCCGGCACATAAAAAATTGAAGACAACCCACTACTCATCACCAGATCCCAAGAGCTGCAACCCTGGATTTTCTAACAGGTAGGATGCTTATAACCATGACCTTTAAAGTGTTTGCATGAAGTATTAAGAAGACAGAAAAACCATCCATTGCTAAGAAAGCTGACTTTATTTGGGTAATGTAAATCAAACTGAAATACTAGTAATTTGCAAACTTTGCCTTCTCTAGCTTAATGTTGGAAAAGGGAGGAAAATGGAAAAAAAAAAGAATTTCCTACAGCTATAAAAAGTTGTTGTTTTACTGGTTATACATTCTCAAAAGAAAATATTTGGAAAAAGTGGAAAGTTATAATAAAGAGTGTTTAACGCCCCTCCCCCTATAATCTTACTAGTTATCAAGCAGTGAGCATTTTTTCAAGGATTTCCTTCCAACAACATAAGTTCTTGTAAAAGGGAAACGCGTTTGTAGAAGTTGACCAAGTGTCTTCTAAAGAAAGGGCATCTCAGACAGGTTACTGATGTGTCTGCTGAGGAAAGGGGGTGCATCTCAGACAGCTGTGTGTGGTGGTCTTTGTTCCAACCACACAGGGACCGGGAACACACCTGCTATTCTTGTGTCTGAAATGAAAACATGGTGCTCCCAGGCAGTCAGCCTGCCAGGCTGAGAAGAGCATCCTGAGCAGAGCCCAGCTGCTTTCACCAGGAGGAAGAAACTTTAGTAAACCAGCTTACCCTTCCTTTAGTAATCACTGGCAGTTCCTGATCAGTCAGCTCCTCCACCTAGATTTGTCTTTTTTCTGCGCTTTTAACTATCTCTGTCAGAGACGCCTCTCCACAATTTTCTTCACCAAGTTGATTTGTTTGCTTGCTTTAGAAAGCCTATATATATCTATATATGTAGTATTTTTCACTGAAGTGAAGGTGAAGGGTCTTCTTCCCAGGTGTGCCTTTTCTTGGGATGTAAAGTAAACTCAGAAGGACTGGAGGCACTTGGGGCAGTGTTCCCTCTGCTTACTCTTGTCCCCTGACTGAAACACTTCCTCTTGGTGGTGAGGTGGGAGCCACAGGGTAGATCCTCTTAGTCAAACTGATATATATTTTTTTAAGATATATTTATGCATACAGAACTGGGGTACAAGCCAGAGATACAAGGGCGATGAGAGGCTTCACCAGAGACAGTGGGGAGCAGAACAGGCAGGTCTACAAAGTACACTGCTGAAGGGAGCAGTGGGCAGGTCAGGAGAGGGCTGCTGCGCCATGTGGGTCACCTCTGGGGCCGGGGATCAAACTCATGCGTATCGAACTTTAGTTTCTTAGTGCTGTGCTTTTTTAACCCGCTGCACCACCAGGGAGGACCCAGAGGTGATTTTTTTTTAATGATTTATTTTCTTTATTTATGCATACAAGAACTGGGGTGTCAGCCAGAGGTGGGTTGGGGCGGTGAGAGGATTCATCAGAGACAAAGGGGGAGCAGAACTGGCAGAAGTACTGAAATATACTGCTGAGAGGAGCAGCAGGTGACACAGGAGAGGTCTGCTGCGCCATGTTGCAGCAGGAATCGAACTCCCATTACAGTGGCTGTGCATAGCTTCATAGTGTTGAGACTTTAACCCCTGATCCACCAGGGAGGTCCAAATTGAGAATTCTTAAAGCATCTTTTGTAATTGAATTCCAAGAGAGTTTTGGTCAATAGACATTTTTATCTCATATTTTCTGTCCAGTCTCTACATTTACTATAGTTAATCTGGATGAGTTGTCCTTGACTGATTTTCTTTTATTTACACTCATTTTAATAACAAAAGTTCAACTTTTATTTGTGATACCCACAGATGATCAACATTTAAATTAAGCTGTGGGACCATTTTTAACTGTTTAGATTAGCATACAGCCTTTTCATTTTAAACCTAATTAAAATCTCCTGACTAAAGTTCATGAAAGAGCTAGTTAAGGGTATCTGAGGGAGGAGACTAGCTTGTAGAGAAAATCACTTCTGAACACCTTTTTCTGGTCTGTAGCTGAAGAAGAAAAGAGATGTGATCATTTCAAAAATATTGTGACATTCGTTGTACCCAGATGAAATAGCTTGGCATATTTTTATTTCCTTCGTGCTTTATAGAAAATCTCAGACAATTTAACTAATGAATTAGAGATTTGAGAAAACATTAATGTAACCTTAAATTTAAATGATTTCTTTATAAGCCATTAGTAATAGGGTCAGATGATTAATCACAGCTCACAGCGTTACTTGAAATGCTGCAGTGTGTGTGTATGTGTGGAATATAAGAACTCCAGGACCAAGTCTCCACAATCAATCAAAATCAACTAGCAGAATAAATGTCAAGTGATGAAATAAATTCACCCAGCAGCCTTTCTGCACCCAGCTACTTTACAGGGAATAAATTGCAAATTACTGTCATTTATTTCATTTTTCTCCTTGTCTGGCAGCGATAGTGGGTAGTGTTCTCATCTTGTGGACGAGACGCCAGCAGGAGCTCACAACATAATACGATTAAAGCAGGTGGTCCACTCAGAGAATTCATAGCCTATTCATTTTTTCATTAATAATTATATGAGAATTAATTTGCCTTTTGTTCTCTTAATTACTGGTCTCATCACCTCATATACATGCCATGGTGAGGTGGCATGTTTTCAGATCAGTCTTTAGATCTATGTACTTGAATTTTATTCCAGCTACTGGATTATAAATTAGATGGATGAACCAATTTTTTAGCAGTTAAGAACCACTGCTAGAAAGAGTTTTAAGCCTTTGATGCAATCATTGTAAACACAACACAAAACAGTGATTTATTTTCTAATATATGTGTTTGAGGTTGAAATTCTTCCTGAGCTAATGCAAAGGTTCATGGAGAAGAGAAAAATGAAACTAACAAAGTCATATTTTCTCACACTCAATGCCAAAGATCTACCCCCACCATCCACGCCATTACCAATACCTTCTACTAACTTCTAGAGTTTTCAGTCCCCAAGGATTCAGAACCACTTGGCATCCTCCAGAATGTGTCATTTAACCTCTGCTTGTTTTAATCCTTGAAATACTGCTGAACTGCAAAATCTACATTCATAAGACTAATTAGTTCCAAAACTTTAGACAATGTTTTTATAATAATGAATCATCCTATCTCTGAAATAAGTTTAACCATGACAAACCAGTCATAGAAAAAACACTATCCATTTTTTTAAAAGATTTATTTATTTATGCATACAGAACTGGGGTACAGACCAGAGGTGCAGGGGTGATGAGAGGATTCACCAAAGACAGAGTGGGGAGCAGAACAGGCAGATTGGCAAAGGAGAGCAGCGGGCAGGTCAGCAGAGGTCTGCTGTGCTTTGTGATCACCTCTGGGGTGGGGATCGAGCTCATGCTAAAGTGGCTTTAGCTTGTTAGTGCTGTGCTTTAACCCGCTGTGCCAGGGAGGGCCAAAAACAATATCCATTTTAAAATGACAAACTGTAATCTTTTTTTTTTTAATAAATAATATAATAGTTTATTTTTACATCATTTTATGCATTTTTCCATCTCAGTTGTAGTCCCTGTGGCACAAACCCATATTCTTTAATCAGATCTTTGTTCCATGTTATTTACAACTATTTAGTGTGAACCTGTTATGTATCCAACATTGTTCTCAGAGTTGGTGACTTCTTCCTCAGCAACTGAGGCCAACAGGACCAAATCCAACCTTCCATCTGTTTCTGTAGACAAAGCTGTATTGGAACATGTCCGTCGCCATTGGTTTACCTATTATCTATGACTGCTATTCATGCTGTAACAGCACAGTGGAGTAGTCAGTACAGAAACTACAAGACTATGATATCACAGAGACCACAAGTCTAAATTATGAGTTAACTGAAAATATTTGCCAACCCTGAACCTGTTACATTAATAGAGGATTCATAATTCAGAATTCCTAGTCAAATAATGGTCCTAATTATTCAAACTTAATTAAACTATTTGGTCTGCTATCCCTAAAGAAAATGCCCAGCAACATTTTAGAAAGTTTTCCAATGATGAAAACAAATAGGAATCAAGATGTCCTCAATTAATTAAGACATTTAATTATTCTGGATGTTTCCTAGCATAAAATTAAGATTAGCTGTGCATATTTAGAGCTAATATGATCACAGGTGGCATCAGTATCTTGGTTACATTAATTGGAAGCTCTGCAATGTCATGTGTATGTAAAACATCTGGAATCTTGTTAACAAGGGTTCTGATTCTGCCAAGGATCCCGAGTGGGGCTGGGTAATTCCTACATTTCTAAGGCACCCAAGAGTTGGTAGTGCTTCCAGACAATTGACCTTATATAAGTAGCCTGGGGTTAGTTTTTTTAACAGAAGAAATGGGTTCCAACAGCGGAGAAAAGGGACCGAGGGGCAGATAAAACTGCAGTCTTTGCTTTCCTTTCCAGCGTATTCCTGCCTTCCACTGGCCTCTTCGCCAGAAAAGCATTACCAGTATGAAGATGTCAACCTGTCCCTGGCTAGGTTGAAACAAGTAGATTAGGAAATGATAATGAATTGTTATCTAGGCTGTTATTCTTCTTCTTTTTTTTCCTCCTTTAACATTTTTTTTAAGACAATATTTGTGACCCACTTGCTTTAATTTTGACCCCTTCTCTTCTCTATAATCATCTAGATATTTATCTTTCCTGAACCTGTGAATTTATAATATATTGTCTCTTGGGTGAAATGGAGGGAGATTTATAGAGGAAAAAAAAAAACTCTCTTCTTTTCCCTCTTTCTGGGTTGGTATTAGCCATCATTTTAAAATATAAGCTAATGTCCTTCACCTTCAAAAAGGTTATCAGTGAAATAGGTGCAGGTAAAATATTTAATTGCAATGATTTTCTTTGCAATAGCAACTATTTAATTTTACTGATGCTTTGCTCTATGAAAAGCTTCAGAAAGGACTCTCAAAATGTTTGCATTCATCCCAAACATAAATTTGAGTCCATTTAAAACGATATATTTAAGCATCTGTTTAACAATTGAGATTAAACCAACTTCACAAATAAAAGATGAAATTTCTATGTCAGTTATATCTCAGTCAAACTGGGGGAAGTTCTCTAAACATTTCAATTAGATATGATGCCTCAGGGTATCATTGTGGCACTAAGTATGTAAAGAATGTAGTTTAGGGAGCAAGGGAAAGAGAAACTAACACTGATTTTTAAGAAATTACTTAAGAATGATAGTTTGTTCCTTAGAAATTAATGAAAAAGAATGAACTTTTGTATCATTAAAAAGTTAAAAATAGGGAAGTTAAGGGGGAGGGCTTCTGTTTTAATTAATGTGAGTGCTTTTTCCCTTCCTCTGGTTTATTAAAGAGAATAACTCATAGAAAGGCATTATTAAAGTATGCAAAATATAAAAAATTAAAAATAACAGTGAAGTTTCTTTTCAAAGAGAAAATGCCAGTGATACAACCGCAGGGGAAGCCCAACCTTTGACCTTTGTTCACAGGACTCTCTTGATCTTAATCGTGGGAGAAAATGGAGCTTCCCTTGATTCCTCAGGGGAAGAATCAAGCTCCCTATTAGCTTTACAAAATACACATGTCTGCACTGCCGGGCAGGCTGTTCCTGGCTGAAATGTGATTGCACCTATTATAGTGGCCTTGATCAAAGAAAAGCATAGAAAATTGTCTTTGAAGTGGACTGTAGAACCAGTGATCTCTTCAGCCTTGTCAGACCCATTGATGAGAGTTTGCTACTGATGAGAATATAATTAGAGATGATTGTGACTTGTTATTTTGAGGGGCGGAGGACAAGACAGGGGAATATTTTAGAGGAAATAAAAGGGCTCTCGTGGAGTGTTGGATAAGAGACAAACAGCTATCACAAATGAAAGCTAAGATGTGGGATGTATTGGATGCATCATTTCTCTGTTTTTATTTTGCAGACATTTCAAGGCTATCCTTTAGGTATGTAGGCAAGTTTGCGAGTAAATTAGACTTACCTGGGAAAAACAGGAGTGTAAAAGACTGAACAGTTTGCATAATGACCTGATGTTGTCCACGGAACATTCTTTGGTACAATTTCTTTGGGCCAGGAGGATTCCAACTTGGGGATGAGGTGGGGTGGGCGATTCCTTTAGTGCTATTATGGTGTAGCTCTTTTGTAACCTGTCATTACAGTGCACTTCAAATTAATACGGCAGATGGTACTTGTACATTAAATGCTGGCAGTCCTCACTGCAGTAAACACGACCGCCTCTGTGTTCTCCGAGTTGTGAGAAAAGATGGTGAAAACAAGGGCAGGCAGTTTTATGCGTGTCCTCTACCCAGAGAAGCACAATGTGGATTTTTTCATGTACGTATGAGATTGATGAAGCTTACTACAGTGTCATTGAGTACTTCATTCCTACACAATGATAAAGAGCAACCCTTTTCTGATTTTAAACACTAAACGTTGAATCATTTCAAATGCAAAAGGTTCATGCAAAAAGTTTCAAAAAATAATCACTTAAATTTTTAGATGTATGATATTTGTAAACTCAGGTAAAATTATTGCTATGGTTAAGAAAGAAAGATATTGTGTGACTTACTCACATGGCTAATAATACGAGTTGAGAATTTGCTGTTTCAAAAATCCTTGAATGCTATATCAGAATCTTGGCATACAGGTATATGAGAAAATTATGTATATGCCCCAGATTTTTAGTACCACTTAGCCCATCCTACTATATATATTTGACAAAGAGAAAAAGTGATGGCACAATAGCAATCTAGATGAAGATGATTCCACACACATTTCCAATCTATGAGTCTGCCTTGCAGATGAGGCGAATTAGGAAACAAGAATCTTGGGTCCTCTTCGCCATTCTCACAACATTCCTCAGAGGGAAAATACCTCATACACTGAGTGTGATTTCAGTGTTGACAAGTGCATATTTTTCCAACTGCTTCATTTGGTACAGAGTTAAAGAAAGGAAAGAATTGTTCTGCTTCAGTGCTGGAACAAAACTTTATTGGTTGGGCTTATTGAGAGAGACAATGTCTTTAGTGTAATAATTTCCTAAGGAATTCCCCATGGGAAAATGGTTAATGATTTTAGATCTTAACCCCTGCACAAAATGTGACACCATCCTATTGAACTTACAGATATTTTTTTTCCTCAAGAAGCATTCATGGATATAATGGAGAAAAAATATTAAAATTAATAATGTCACAGTCTGGGTTATGCTTCTCATAAGGGCAAAATTAATAAAACTAATACAGTGGGATCTTCCTAAATTATTCTAGGAAATTCTGGGAACTTTTTATTTTCCTAAGAGAATAATCAAGTTTAGTAGTAAGTCATAACACATCTTTGATCTGAATTTTAACCAAACCAGACTCGTAGCCAGAATATCAGTGATTACTTTATGGCAAGATTATAGTTGTTTTCATTGATTCTCAATCAGGCAAAGAACTCTATAAATATGACCTTCGACAAAGGAATTCAGAATTCTGGCAATTTTCTGTGTGATGCAATCAAATTTGTTGGCGATGCTTTATCAGGATAGAGTTTTTGTTAAGAGCAACTACTAAAGAAGCATCTGTCTTAGAATATCAAGTACTGGTCACAGCAGCAGAGACCCTATGGCACTAATCAATGAGCCCCTGACCCTCCCTCTCACGTCCACATAAACTCTACACCCTCTTTTCTCCGCAGTGGGCAGATCTATCCTTCCCGCTCTGTCACCACGGCAAACGCTCCATCATGAGGACGGTGTTGAAGATTGGACCTAACAATGGAAAGCATTTTTTTGTGTGTCCCCTTGGGAAGGAAAAGCAGTGCAAATTTTTTCAGTGGGCAGAAAATGGGCCAGGAATGAAAATTATTCCAGGATGCTGATATTTTCTGCTTTTATATAAAAGCTGGCATTCGATCACTTCAAACTGCATATAATGTTTAGTCCCTTTTATGGTGGCAAGATGGATTACTTATCGTACATTGGAAAGTTACTGCCACATAGGAAAACTGTCACTTTTAAATGGGATCTGTCTGTTTTTGTGTATTATTTTTGCCCCAATGAAGGCTGTTTTGTAAAATGTACAGTACATTCCATTTTGAACATGTATTTAGCGCATTTAGAAATGACAATAAAGTATTTTTAGTATGTTCTTAGCCTCTCCTAACTTCTTTGGTGAAGCAGTGTTTTTTGTTTGTTTGTTTGTTTGTTTTGTTGTTTTTTTGTTATTGCTGTTGGTTTTTTTTGTTTGTTTTCCTTTTGCTTAGGAGCAGATTATGCAGTACAGTGAAATAACTTACTCTGTCTTTAAATAATAATCTTCTCAGTTATTGCCACTATTAATTAAACATGATTAAAGGTACTTCTTATTTTCCTAACTGAAGTTTAGGAAATGAGATCTCTTTTATGTAAAAGAATGTTTTCTTTGTTCTATTAAGCAAACATCAAATTCAACTAGATACCAACAATATGCCAAGCACTTGTATAACTTCAAGTGCATTTTCATGGAAAACTATGGGGATTCATAATATAAAAGTAAGAGTTTTAAGAATAGAACTTGTCTGTATATATACACACAAAGAGAAATCAGAGAAACTTTTAAATTTTCCAGTCATGAATTTAATGCCTTAATTTTAGGTAGCCAATGTCAAAACTTGATAATGTGCTTACTTTTTATTTAGAGTTTTATTTTAGCTCCCTTTAAAAGTATATATATATTTATTTATTTATGCACACAGAACTGGGGTACAGGTCAGAGGTGCAGGGGTGGTGAGAGGATTCACCAGAGACAAAGTGGGGAGCAGAACAGGCCGACTGATGAAGTAACACTGCTGAGGGGAAGGAGAGGTCTGCTGCGCCCTGTGGGTCACCTCTGGGGAGGGGATCGACTCATGCTGAAGTGAGTTTAGCTTGCTAGTGCTGTGCTTTAACCTGCTGTGCCACCAGGGAGGGCCCTCCCTTTTTTTTTTTTTTTTTGAGATTATTTTATGCATACAGACCTGGGGTACATGCCAGAGGTACAGGGGCGGTGAGAGGACTCACCAGAGACAGTGGGGAGCAGAACAGGCCGACTGACTAAGTACACTGCTGAGGGGAGCAGCAGGCGGGTCAAGAGAGGTCTGTCACCATGTGGGTCACCTCTGGGGCTGGGGATTGAACTCACGCTGAAGTGACTGTGGCTGGTTTGCCGTGCTGAGCTTTAGCCCGCTGTGCCACCAGGGAGGGCCCCTCATCTCTAATTCTTTTTTTTTTTTTAAGATTTATTTATTTGTGCATACAGAACTGGGGTACAGGCCAGAGACTCAGGGGCGGCGAGAGGCTTCACCAGAGACAGAGTGGGGAACAGAACCGGCAGATCGAAGAAGAACGTTGCTGAAGGGAGCAGTGGGCGGGCCAGGAGAGGTCTGCCGCGCCATGTGGATCTCCTCCCGGGCAGGCAGGAATCGAATTCATGCGGAAGTGGCTTTAGCCTCTCAGTGCAGTGCTTTAATCCGCTGCGCCACCAGGGAGGGCCCAAAAAAATTAATTTTAAGAGTCACTATTCACTCAGTTCTGACTTCATAACTTCTATATTTCACTCCATCCTCCTGATAGTCCCATGAAGTAGGCTTTACTGTTGTGGTTATGCTGATTTTCTGGCTTAGGAATCCTGATTTTATGTAGGTTAAGAAATGTTTTGTCGCACATTTGAGTGAAATTTGCAGAGCAAGAAACCCCAGATGGGCAATAAAGTATTCTTTCCATGAATCAGAGATAAATGGCTGAACCTGTGGGGTGGGAAGGGCCTGAGGCTGGGCAATCCAGCCTCTGGCTCTAACCCTTCCTAGTGGTCACTCAAAGCCTGTGGTGGAAGAGAAGGACGCTCTGTCTGAGCCCTTAACTCTACCTAAGTAGGCCCACTCGTGGGACATGTGAGCAACTGCCCAGTTATGACGTTAGGTAGCCAAGGGTTCTCTAGCCTACTGAGCTCTCTGCGTTGGGTTAGATGTAGCCTCTGCTTTCCAAACATGTAGGAGCCATGGGACGTGCGCCACGCCTGTGAACGTGCCACACAGAGGCCTTCCAGAGCCAGCAGGTCGAGGAGCGCCGAGACGTGCCGGCCCGTCCCTGTACCTGCTGTAAAGCCAAATCCTGAAGCGCACCTTAGACGCGCTTGTCTGACGGCCTCTGCTCCATGCAGTGATCTCCTCAGAGCTCAGTCTCTGGCTTTTCCCTTTTAATAACCCCGAACGCTCTTTGCTTCCGGTCCTTGCTGCATTCTTGAATGTGATCTCAAGCGTCGTCTGAATGGATCCAGGTACATCCATAATGACATTAATATGTGCAGATATTTAAAATACATAAGTGAAAATAACTGTGGTATTCTGGGATCACTGTGACTTTTTTTTCTTCTCAAAAATCTGTCGTATTAATGTGTAATGTTAAAATATCTATAGATTCACTTTCAAATTCTATTGCTTTGATTATTCAATTTTTACTCTTGCCCATTTTTTTTTAAATTCCTTATTTCAAAAGATGTATTTTCTAGGTCACCCCGGTTAGCAAGTTCACTAGTATGGGAAATGAAAGAACACATGTTCTAATGAAGTTTTCCCTAAGACATAAGCTTTTCTTTCTGTGTGTATTTCCACAGTACTTTATATCTCTTCTGGAACTTACATGACACAGATGCCTTATGTTATTTTTCCTATTCGCATTTCCTGACGTTCACCTCAAGGTACTGTATATAATTCTTCTTTACTCTTCACAGAATTTTACCACATATTATGTCTTGCACACAGTATACATTTGGTAAACATTTGTTGAATATAGTAGATTGAGGCTTAATACAAAGTCAGTCTATTGAATATTTGTAACCTTGTTACTATTCAAACCTGAATGCACTTAACATGTCATTGAAAGAATGTTGCTGGTTTATTATCAAAAGAAATTGCTCAGTTTCTGAGCTGTTAAATCTTTCTACTCATTTACATGAAAGTTTATTTTTGATGTTTGATAGAAATTGGCTTACAAATGGACAGGCCAATACTAATTGGATCAAAAGGTGTGTGCATTCATTGTAAAGGGAAGAAGATAGAAAAATAATGATGCCTTCAGGCTACACTGTGCTAAATGACATATAGAGATGAAAAAAAGTATAAATACAATACATATGAGTTGAAAGTCTTCCATAGCAACTGAGTCAAAGGGTTTAAATGTCTTAGCTTCGCATTCAGCTAATCTCTATTGAACACCTACTATGTGAAAAATTTCACAATGGGAATTTGTAATAATGATCTTACCAGCATATATATGGGGTTGAAAATAAGAGTTAACAGCACAGTAAGTGAAGTGCTGAAGGGCACACGAAGGAGACGTCACATCAGATTTGTGAGCTAGAGAAGCTTCAGGAAAGATTCAGCAGTTACATTTGACCAGGGTGAAAAGTAGAAGGACATTTCAGGCAACAGGCACAGCCTCAGGGCAGATCTGTGAGAGCACCAGCGAAGGGAACTCGTGGGGGAGGGCGCGCACTCCTGTTTGGCTAGATCACAGGATCTGTGCGTGAACATCCATGGAGAAAAATCTATAACAGAAGAATCAATTCCATTCATTGTTGCAAGAGAAGTGCCTCAGGTGGGACATTCACGGTTTTGAAGATATAAAAATTAGTAACTCTTCCCTCTTAAGGAGCCTTGGGCAGGAAGCACCAGACACCTCCAGGGCCTGTGCTTCACGAAGGATGCAGACAGAGGACCAGCTAACAACAACAAAAAAAGAGGGCTGTCCTGCCAAGTTGTAGGAGAGGGTAGACAGTGAGCTGTATTGCTCAGACTCTGGAAGACTGAATTCCAGAGTCACAGGGCTAGTTCAAAGACCCGCCCCACTCCTTAGTGTGGCCTTGACCTCGTGAGTTAAGACATCTGAGTCCTCTGTATTTTCTAATTCTTAACTTTTGATGGGCTATTGGAACCTCAGCTACTCTTTGCTAAGTCAGTTACTTCATTTGCTAGGTGGTGTCGTGAGGAGACTGTCACACAGCTCTGTGGTCAAGACAAAGCTCTAGAGCCCTTTGCAAGGCTTCTTTGCACAGCTCTTGCTGGTTAAAACACCTGAAGTGGTTGTACTATATTTATTTTATACGTCCTCTTACTCCTCCTCTTACTATCAAAACCATCAACATGGGAGGTTTCCAAGAGGAAATCACCTTACAGAAGCACTGGAATGTCATCTGTGGAACAGGGACTGCCAGAGAAAGCACAGTACGAGAAACGTGTGGACGCATACAAAGTATAGTGCAGGGCTTTTAAAAAGAAAATAATAGGGAGAAGATGCTATGATGAGTTTTATGGTTCCAATGGCACATCAAAAGTTAAGAATTAGAAAATATAGAGGACTCAGATATGTCTTAATTCATGAAAGACTGCAAAATCCAAAGCTTCAGAAAAAGCCAGGCCTTCTAGATAGTAATCATATTTATCCCAACGATGAGTTTAAATCATTGCCAATTAAAATTACTGATCCCATTCACTCTACTTCTTTGAGTGGAGAAGAGATAATGGTTTTCAGTGCATGGAAGCACAGTGTATATATAGTCTTTCTGCAAGGGCAGGATGAAAGGTCTCAGTTTCACAAATGATGCTCCCAAGCCGTGTTGGACTTGAATGCAAAATCTTTTAGAGCCAGGTGAGTGCAATTAAAAGTGGCCAATCAGAGCCTGGAGATTGCAGACAATGAAAGTACAAGTATTCTTGGGAATTGTAGGATAAAAGTGAAGGGTTTAGGGCTGAAATACTTTCTATGAATTATTGAAATTCTGTTGGCTTCTTCAAAAACATGAGAAGAAAAAAAGAAAGTTAAAAAGATGTGAAGAAATGACAAAGGCATGTAACAAAATCACAAA